GCTGACACCGGAGTCAGTGTTCGTATGAGTGCAGACAGTCGTTGGACGTAGTCTGATTCGCCGAACTTAGTGCTGCTCCGTGGTGTGAAAAATTCCCCAGGCAGACGCAATGTCGTGCCATAAACAAGTTCAGCGGCGGAAAATTGAATATCTGCCTTTAAACTCGTTCTGATACCCAGGAGAACGAGCGGTAAGGTTTCGTACCAATTGTCGTTTTCGTGTGCTCGAAGATCACTTTTAAGTTGGCGATGAAACCGTTCAACTAAACCGTTTGATGGTGGATGGTAGGCGGTAGTGCGTATGCGTTCCGTAATCGAAGCGAGCATCAGGCGTAGCGAAAGTGCCAATAGGTGCAGCTACGTGTCTGCGCACTTTTGATCGTTGACATTGTAAGCATTGCTTTACCCACATACGGACATCTTTATTCATGGACGGCCAGACGTATCGTGCAGCGATGAGGCGTAGTGTGGCTGCGATATCAGGATGAGATAAACCATGAAGGGCATCAAAGATGAGACGGCGATAAGCGGAGGGTACGATGGGTCGGGGGAGGCCCGTGGAAGTATCGCATAGGATAGTACCTGAGCTAGTAGCTAGGGGTACTTCCCGGCACTGAAGGGACGTAGACTGTTGTGCTTCCGTGCATGAAGTATCGTTTGCTTGGGCGGCGACCATAGCAGGTAGATCGAGCACTGGCAAAGTAACTGCATTCAGTTGGATACGTGATAAACCATCAGCAACACAGTTCGACTCGCCTTTGACGTGACGAAGGTCTGTCGTGAACTGAGAGATATAGTCTAAATGTCTGCACTCTCGTGGTGAGTAGCGTTCATACTTGGTATGCAGAGCATACGTTAAGGGCTTATGGTCGGTGAATAGGATGAAATTACGACCTTCTACAGCGTGCCGGAAATAATTGATGGCGCAGTAGGCTGCTAGCAGTTCGCGACCAAAAGCGCTATATTTCGTCTCCGTGGGAGTGAGGCGTCGTGAGAAAAATTCGAGGGGCTGCCAACTACCGGAGATATTCTGTTGCATAACGGCTCCTATGGCGAAATCCGATGCATCAACCGCTATACTAAGCGTGGCTGATGGGTCAGGATGCACGAGAAGTGTGGCTTGAGCTAGGGCCGTTTTGATATCTGAAAATGCAGTACGTGTGGCGTCATTCTATTCCACTTTGCGTGGATTACCGCGAAGTAAATCGGTTAACGGTCGTAACTGTTCTGCCGCGTGAGAAATGAAGCGTCGGTAGAAGTTGACCAAACCGAGAAATGCCTTCAGTTCCTTGAGTGTGGACGGTACAGTGTACTCCATTATCGTACGTACTTTATCCTCACAAGGTAAAATACCCTCATGCTTAATAACGACCTAAGAATTTTATTTCCTTCTTCCCGAGTTCACACTTGTCGGGGTTGACTATTATTCCATTATCCGAAAGGAGCTGGAATAGTAGCGTTAGGTGTTGATAATGTTCATCTACGTTTGATGATGCGATTAGCAGGTCATCAATATAGACGTGAACAAAATCTAGGTCTCGTACGATGCTATCGATAAACCTTTGGAAAGTTTGAGCAGCATTCCGTAATCCAAATGGCATTCGTAGGAACTCAAATAAACCGAAAGGAGTCGAGATAGCAGTTTTCTCTATATCTTCAAGAGCGACTGGGATCTGGTGATATGCTCGTACCAGATCGATCTTGGAAAAAATTGTCGTGCCCTTGAGTGATGCCGTGATGTCATGTATGGGGGGGATAGGATAGCTATCGAAACGTGTAGCTGCGTTTAACGCTCGGTAGTCTCCGCATGGTCTCCAACTAACCCCATCCTTTTTTCGAACCATGTGGAGAGGTGAGGCCCAAGGACTGTGAGAAGGACGAATAATACCAGTAGCTAGTAAATTGTCAAACTCACGTTTAGCGAAAGCTAATTTGTCCGGTGCCAGTCGGCGAGGTCTTGCCGGGACTGGTGGTCCGAGAGTGACTATGTGGTGTACCACACGATTGGTCACCGATGGAGTCTCCTCGAGAGGTTTAGTTAATTTGGGGAATTTCTGAAATAAAGTGTGGAATAAATCGTCACGCGAATGAAATACACCTGTGATTCAGTACGCGTTTGTGTGGGCTTTAAAGCCCATAAAGTTGCTGTTCGACGAAGTATCAATTAACTGCAGCCTACGTGAATCAACTAGCAATTCATAGTGCTGTAGGAAATCGATACCGAGTATAGTTGTGGGAACATCGGCAATGATGAACGTCCACAGATACTATCGTCGATTGCTCAGGTTGACCGTAAGTTGTCGTGTACCATAGGTGGGAATGACTGAGCCATTCGCAGCGCGTAGTCGAAGCATAGTGGCTTGAGACTTACTGTTACCGATAGGTACGACAGAAACTTGAGCACCCGTATTCACAAGGTACCTAGCGTTAGTGCGATAATCGTGCACGTAAAATAGACGGCCAACCTGAGGCGAAGTGCCGGCGAGTACGGCCGCATTTACTCGCCAGCTCGGGAGTTTCCCGCCTTGTATGATCAAGGAGCTCGACAATTACGGGCACCGGCCCCGAAGGCACGGTGGAACCAGCACCAACTCAGACTCGCTTCCCAAACCGCCTTCTGGCGTGGCTTGGAAGATGCCCGCTTGGGGCGTGTCGTTACGGCTTTTCGAGATTGTGACCTGGGTCGGGGGACGTAGGGGGCTGGCACATTTGAGCGGTCTCGGAAACTGAGACGAGTATGGATACATCTGTCCCTATCCCCATGAGACGAAGGTCGTCTAGCATCGAAATCCATGTTTGTACGAGAAGTAGAGGCAACAATATAGTTGTCTTTGGCGCTAGCGCGTGCTAGAATTTTGTCTGCTATGAGGGCCACCTTGTTCAGTGGGGTGTCCTCGAGCAGGGCCGTAAGAGTTGGTTGGATACTAGCTGGTAATGCTTCGAGCCATAACTCTTTGACTATTTCGGAGTCTGCTGTCGTTTCCTGCAAGGGATTGCAGGCGCGTGAGGTGGTGGCTCGGCTTAGCATTACCCATAGGGTGACGTGCTAATAGAGTCCTCAATTGTTCCTCTCCTGATGGGAGGAAGTGTCGAAGGATGGCATCCTTAAGACGGTCGTAAACGTTCGGAACGTTCGGATTGAGGACAACCTCACGGACAGCAGTTAGGTGATCCCCGGGCAATGATTCCAAAGCATTAGCGTACTTTTGCTTTTGGTTGGTTATGCGGCGGATCTCAATTTGAGATTCCAGTGCCGCGAACCAGACTTCTGGATCATGAGGGATGAAAGGAACCGGTCGAAAATTAATAGCCTGTACCTCGGAGTCTATAATATTTATACTATTCTTATCGTTATCCACCATAGTAAGTTGCCAAGATACTATATATTGAAAATATCAATACGAATATATGCAACAGAAGTGGATAGATACAGACTCACCGAATTGATCTGGGTTGGAAAAATGGCCAAGTTTGAACTGTGCTCGAAGAATTGGGTTACTGGTTGTGGTTCACCAGATGTTGTGCGTGTTCCCAATACGGCTGGCCAGTTTGTAGTGGGTATCCCAAATACGGCTCACCAGTTTGTAGTGGATGTCGAGTCGAAGACGGACCATGATCACCACTACAATTCGTTTACGCACCCAAAAACGACTTGGTTCCTTTAATAGCTCTTAAATCAGAAAGCTTTATTAATCCAGATCAAGTATATTTATTGGCGATCTCATGGTATCGAAATAATACCGAGACGTGCCAAAGAGTACAGGCAAAATGAGCAGTACGTGAGCAAGTTCGAACCAAACAAGGCGGAGAGCGAAAGCACAAGTGAAACTGATACAGTAAAACAATCTCTAGTACAATTGGTTACAATAATAATAATTGTTTCCGTTATTCCAATCGTGTTCTTATTGAGACTGGCCGGTCACTACAATCATAAACAATTTTAGATGTAGCGACAATATGAAGAACTAGCATTTGAATGAAGGAGTTTTCACGAGGTTAAATGCAAACCACTTGTCTAAATGCTAACGAAAGCTAGTTGGAAAGAAGCTATCAGTTAATTAGTAACTAAAATATATCAGTTCAAAGCATGAGTCAATTGAAACTAGACCACCAAAGAAAACCTAGTGGTATGGCTTCAATCGACTTATTCTTTCAACTATAAAAATATTAAATCTCCACAAAAAGCCTCTTCTGATAATATCAATTTTCACCAACTCGACCGAGTTATATTCAAGTTTGAATAACCTTCATTTCATAGAGCTTTAAACTGACCAATGCTGTATTATTCCCACGTAACAAGGCCATCAATTCTTTGGGTGGGACTGTGAGTTGGGAATGTTGGTAGGAAAAACATGTATCTGGAACTTTTTTACATATTGAAGAACTCTAATCAAAAATATTTTAATCATAGTGAAAGCAGACAGTCACCTATCGCTTATTGCTTCAAACCAGGAATGGAATAATACGGCTTCTCAATCTCCTGATTCTTCACCAACTCTGCAGTCGATGGCATTGTGCCCCAAAGGAAGCACGTAGTGGTGGTGTAGATCCGTATCTTGGAGAAAGACTTTTCGAGTGTGAGGATGCCAATATGATGATACACAGGCTACTCAACTTCAATTGTTTTATCAAATGAACTTTATTTCCTATTAAATACTATCACTCTTTATTTATTCATTAGATTGTACTTCTTTACCCTCGTTTATTTCTCTACAGTATTGTTTCTTTAGTCGTGCGATGTAGATGTCTTTGGTTCCCAGTTGTACCTGAATTAATGTTTAACAAACAATTAGAAAAAAGTCCTAAACTAATGAGCTAGTTTATGAACGTTTTTCAAACCTTAGCTTAAGTGTCAGTCAACTTGATTATAAACATGCAAAAACGAGAATCAAGAGATTTCTGATTAGTTTAAATGATAAATATGACTCATCCTGAACTTGACCAATTCGTGTGGTAAATTTTTGCACTATGGTAATGACATTAAAATATTTAACGAAACATAAAGACCATTACTTAACGTTTATAGACGGAAAATTGCATACATTTAGTTGGATGAAGTAAACAATATAAGAAATTTTTGAAACAACATCTAGACTATATACTAATTTCGAAAGATCCCATTCCGCAAGGCTTAAACTAATAATGAACATATTTAAACTGCATCTTACTTTTAATCAACAGAGCAACTACTTTGAGAATTCCTTTCGCCATCAATAATGACTATTACATACATTTTAAAACCTGGAAAATTACCTCCAATTAATATCAAATATGAACAATAGGAAGTGTGACTATTAACATGAAAATTCTATACAACTGTAAACTTTATATACGATAGAAGGTATAATGTTAACAGAATACAGAGAAAACTAGTGACATATTTCTTTCAGCACAATGTATGAAATTCAGAGTTATTTTATAAAGTGATCTCATACATAAGTTTTGTAAAGGCAACACCAAATTAAATTGATGAGTTGCATTACAAATGTAGTAGTAGATCTAAACCATCATTGTTACACGTTCCCATACATTTTTGGAATCCTGACCGGAAGTATCTTGAATCGAATCGGGACTACTGTCTGGGCCTATGACCACATGACCCACATTATGAAAATCTGATGTATCAGATAATTTTTGTACAATTTTCCCAGCGATATTCTTTATTCTTGATGCATCAACAGAGAAAACCTGGTTTCTATGTGACTGTCTCAAATCATCACTGATCCCATTCAAAAAATAGGTTAGACCGCGGGAACCCGCTGAAACAGGATAGTCTAACTAAATTTACACAAAATGGATGAGAAAAAAAATAAAAGAAAACTGTAATTTACTAGTATTAACTCAGTAGGAGGATAGCATAAAATTTCAATATAATAGTAATGATAAAAACAGTCATGAGGATTCACTAGGATTATTAATTCTTCGAAAAATGATGAAAGTTAGTGCAAATCTCGATCAAATGTTGATCGGTAGTCTTAAAACTTGTTGATAAATCATATGTCAAACTAAAAGGGAGAACATGACTGATTGGACAAATTGCCGTAAACGACCAAGGGGTCCTATGACTTATGACTTATACATAGTGTCTCACTGTACTAGATTTATTGCATGTTATTTTGGGATAAGCCGCTCTAGTATTTCATTATATGTAGATTAACTGCTCCACGACTAACTAGATGCATGAATTTCCCAACTATCTCCCAAGACTGTTTTCATGGTGCCATTAGCAGGAGAACTAAATTCCAAACCACAGTTTGTCCAAGGAATAGAAGACGAACTTTATATCAAGGAGTAAAATAATTTGTTGACCTAGATAATAAGTTTGATGGTGTTTAAGGATAAATAGCCAGCCACCAGACTGCTATTCACGAGTTTTTCACAATCTGTGAACTAGGACAAAGGCCCATATTTGGGGTACGATTAGAAGCAGAATCATATAGGTTTCGCGCAGACGAATAGGATGATTACTTCATTTTAGGGTAATTGAACGCTTCTGTACGTCAAATCTTCTCAAACAGTGCAAGGTGTTTCCTGACTAAGAATTCACTTCAACTATTGATAAATTTCAAGGGTAAGCAGCCTGGAATTGGTGACATTCAACGCTTCAGAAGTTGTGGTTTCGTACAAAACTTCATTTCATTTCGTGGATGTAGATTTGCCGGTAAAAGAGGTAAGGAGAGTTTGATCAATGTCTCTGAGGCAACAGAACAATTGAACCATTCTCTAGTTCTCTCCAGAAGCCAATAAATTTGCTGGACACCTTTTAACCAACCATTATTTGAAGTAACTAGTAAAAATCCTCAAACTGACATCCTTATGGATTTTTATAATATCTGAATGAACTAATAAGTGAGTATTTATTTTATTTTAATAGTAACGATATATACGAACTTTCGAATACAGCCTCATTTACAATACTTCTTTTTTACTTGTTCAAATCTTAAATGACTAGGTATGTTAAAAGTCTAGAAGTGAAAGACGATTAGTGCTTAAATAAAACTTAATCCTGCATGTGTAGAGCATGAAATTTATGCAGAATATAGTAACTGCCAACAATCTCACAGGTTAATCCTGATAATAGTGAAATAACTACTTACTGCTTGGAAAACAGAAAGTTTAGCTTCTTTAATATCTTGATCTTGAAATTCTCTGGAGCTGGCCCATTTTATTGCATTTTCAAAACTACTTAGCGTTTTGAGAGGATAAGGATCACTTAAAAAATACAGTACACAAATTAATTTTTCAATGAGAACGATTACAAAATACAATTATCATGAATAATACTTTTAAAATAAAAGTAAATTCATACATTATACATAAGTATGGTAACCAAATCAAGCTAACAGTAGTACTTGCACGGAATAAGTAACCATAAAATCACGAAAACATGTGACAATAGTAAAAAATAATGAAGTCTCACGCCAGCTCGAATAACAGATGCGTGAAGAAAAAAAGCTTTGTTTGAAGCGCTTGTCTGTTTGCCATCCTCTTTTAACTAACTAACATAAACCTACACACTAACACAGTCACTAAACGTTTATGGACCGAGCAAACCGAAATACTGAATACGGTCATAAGTTACCTGAAGGCAAATCAAAACATAAAACAAAACGGTGAGACTATAAAGCAAAGCTAAAATGAACTTGTAAATGTCCACCTACTGACTAGGATTAAATAAGGTTTATAAAGTAGTATTGTAGTGAAAAGAACACCGGTTGGGGACAATCGAATGTATTTGACACGAAAATTACAGACTATCTCACTAAAATCTGACAACCATACAGTAAACAGTTAATTTGCAAAATAACAATCGATTGTCTCAATCTTCACCGTTCCTTCTGTAAATGTCAATCCATCTTCTCTAATTTCATTGTTTGTGCATTTTCCTACCAATTGCGCTTCATTTCAGTTCTTTCCTTATCGGTCTTCTGCCAAAATACATTCTATGTCTAACCATTGCCATGTACTACTTATATGGATATAAGTATAACACACTACAGTATGAGGAATTAGAATTACGATTTACAGTTGATGTTTAAGGTTGGGAATTAAATTTAGGGTTTTCATCGCGAAATGAAAACAGATATAATGCCGAAATAGTATTTAGCAAAATGAGTGGATGAATTTCGCGCTAAAATTCGAGACCCGTTTTCTCAAATCTGATAGGTTCGTCCATAAATTATAGTCGCTTAAACAAAACTGTTGAGACTGAGGACAAATGAATTTATTTATCTTCTCCATCTAAAGAGAAGTTAGTTTACCCTACCAGAAACCTTTTATTCTCATAACGAAATTCCTAAACAGATGTTTCATTGAACGGATCTATCAAAATTAACCAGTATGAATTTCCGATAACTTTTTTGCCGATTCACAGAGAATTTCTGAAATCACTGAGAATATCCAAATCACTTTGTATTTCGGATTAATAAAACCTGAAAAACTCTATGACAGTACGGTAATTGACGTAAAATTGGAAGAATAAAATTACTCAATGACCAACGAAATATGGCTTACCGATAGGAGTAAAACAAGAGAGCTTCCGGTTTGGCAATCGCTCCCCCACCATAAGCACCGCCTTTTTCCCTATAAAATCCAGTAAACATTCAATCAATGAAAAAGGAAGGAAGTAAACCGAAATGTCTGAAAATAAACTAGTTGACATTAACATTACAATAAACAAAGGAAAATGATCCCAATTCGAAAGAATTATCACATCACTTGATAACAAAAAGCTTTTCATGGGAAATTGAACAATTCTGAAGTAAAACCGCAACAAAAAAGTTAGACTAGTAACCCAACTGTGCGACAAATATTTCACAGCATAGTTGATAGAATAAAGTAAAAGCAAACATCCATTTCGGTGTCAGCGGATTACAGATATGATCTGTTGAAACTACTTCTGTAACTGTGAGGCTGATGTGGTGGTCAAAAGTCGCTACCATGACGACCCATTTGAGGTTAGAGCACCTGATCTATTAGGTCTTACTATCTCCAAACTTCATGTTCGAGTTTTTAATATTCAAACATTATCTCAAGCCATACAGTAGGGTATATTAACTAGGACTTCAGAACCGCATGCCACTGACATAAGCCGTGTTTCCGAAACTCATATGCAAGGTCCAAGTGTCATAATTCACTTAATCTTATCTAGTTCATAAAGAGGGACTAGGATGGTTTATGCTTTGTATGTTAGCCGACTTAGTGGATAATTACGTGGAGTTGCTGGTGTAGTCGAAGTTTAGAAATAAAACATACTTTGGTGTGAGGGATGTTGGTAGATGCAGACTACCACCCATCTTAGGTCTTTGCGATAAACATAATCGGTGGCAGGAAACCTTTATAGGTGTCTCAGAGTCCACCTCTAAATTTTGCGTTTCAGTACTTCATCACACATACCCTTTAATTCTTTTTTGTCGAATTACGTTCTTTATATGCGTAACACTTACTATTTATTATCGATGATACTATACTACTAGTTTGGCATTCATACTCACAATTTCATGTTGTTATGCTGATAGACATTTGCTTGTGACTGAATGACTGATTCTATTGAAAATTCCATTATTCTTAGTTTATACAACAGAAACAATTATGCAACAATAAAGTAGGAATGAAGTAAATATACAAATATGAGTAAAATGAAACATGGAGAATGCATATATTGTTTCCATTGATTGTAATCAGGCGCTAGGCTATACTGATTCTAGTAGGATGGTGTTATATCCCGTGGAGATTTATGAATGATAACTTTGAGAACTATTTGTGGACCAATATGATATGTATATTTCTTATTGTATAACTGTCAAGTAACTAAACTATTTATACTCGTGTCCCTCTTATTATAAGCTTTATTTTGACCTATAGACAATTATTATACGATTTACCATTCTTGAGTTATCCCTAGTCCATTAATTACTGTTCCCTCTATTCACAGCCACATTTGACCAAATCTTGTACAGATGTTATTTTCTATTTTATGGTACGAGGTTGTTATTGGTGTTCTGGACTTAACTGGCTGGGCTAGGCAGAAAGCAGGACCGAGTAGTGCTCAAGACTGCTCATACGGCTTTTGTGTATAATGGGGCGACCAATAAATTCGCTGCTCTCTGATAGGCGGTCTCATAACGTTATATATCAACTGGGCAAGAACGCGCGCAATTGATATAACAGATGGCAGATTTCAATTTGAATACATTCCTAAGCCAATCTCCTATTTATGAAACACGTAAACATGTGAATCCATTCGAATAAGAAATTTTGGGAAATATATAAAAACGCCTAAAACTGTTTCCACATTTTTAAACTCTAGTGATACAATAGCCTCCTAAGGAACCCAAGTACTTCGTAAAAATGAGGAAGTATGTGCTTTAACATAGCCGACAGTATGCAAAACTCACCTTATTTCCCGATGTAAGTACTTAAACGACAGTAAATGAGCCAAGACACGATAACTAAAAAAACAGAGGGAAAAGAACTGTGAGATAAGGTGACTACTGAATTTTGGTATGAACATTTAAAGAAAAACAATCGACTTGAAACTGCTAGTTCTTTCCTACCTTGCATAATCTTCAGCGTCATAACTTGGAGCTTCAATAGCCTTAGCAGCATAGTGCACTGTATACGGCATTGCAAAAAACGTATTCCGAGAAATATTTGGGAAAACATCTGGATTTTGAGAGTCTTTAATCGGTAAGCTGGTCGATACTTTTGGTGATTGTGACAAATCATTTAAAAATCCATCAAGATGCTTTAATCCTGACATTAAACCATCAGCTTCTCCATGAAGACTGAATCTAAAATTCGACAAAAGGATACCAAAAGACACTGATGTATAAACGTGTAACTTATATTTCAATACAATGAGAAACAGTAATTTGAAAATATATTATCCATATTGGTTTTCGTCTACAGTATGTACGAACTCAAAATAATGTTCACATTGATGCAAAAACAAACCGGAAGAATTTGTTCACGAGATTAATTATTTCAAACACTAGTATTTATAACATAGTAAATTCAATGTCCTTAGGATTACAGTAATTGAATGAGATAGAATATTATCTTCCTGGCAAACGGCAATTAATTTGGCCTTCAGTGTTAAAATACTCAGTGGGCAAACAATAGAAAGGAAATTATGGTAGCTAAGATAGTTTGACAGACAATCTAAAATCACGAAACCCTCATTTCACTCGTATGAAGTGGACAGAACCTGAGAAATCTCTTTAAGTGTAAATTAACATTATGATATAAAACTGGATTTCATTAGACAATTAGATCCAATAAAAATGGACAAGTACAGGTGATTATTTATAAATTGATGTATGTATGCATCACGTTTCATAATAATCCAGGGTCAAAGTAAAGTTTGGACAAAAAATAAATTTAATTCCAGAACATATTATAACCATTCATGATTGATAATTCACATAACTATTGATCTCTCAAACAAGGGATTTCTACAATACAGAAGACTTAAATGAAAATTACTATTCTGCAACTTATATATGAACTTACTTTAGTCTTCTATGTGAAGTAATATAACTCCAAATAGCCTTCATACATTCAATAATGTTTGAAAGAACATCACTTCGTTTGTCACTTTCTAGTCCGATTTCGCTAGCAATATGTTGCATGATTCTAGCTTGCTCCATCCCTGACCAGAGTTCACGAGTAAGCAGAGTTGACGAAAGACTGGCAGCTGCGCGACACATCGCGAACTGGTGGGCTTATAAAAAATATATGTACTAGAATAACGGTAGCTATAAAAATATCAATACAATATTGATCACTGTAAAATATTGTCGTTCTCTAAACAACTTTTAAAACCCGGTAAACTCTGCAGCTCTGCATACGGCGAAGAATAACACGAAAGTAAGCTGAATTTGAACTTAAGTCATCATTAAAAAAAAAAAAAAGAAATACTCATTTTTTTTAAAAGACTGTAGACAACTCTTTGGACAATTATGAGTGAGAAAGAAGGAAGCGGGAATTAATTCAACTACGAAAACTTGTTAGAAATACCTTTAGTCAATTGTTGGTCTATAACCTAAATTATAGTGTTGATGTGATGTGGCAACTTGGACCGATGCATCAGGTTTTATGTTGCTTCTAACTGACTGTGTTCAAGAATAATATATGTAATCCATTGACTGAGAACTTACATGAAAAGCTTTTAATTAATCCTGAATAATCAAGATCAATCACATTTAATTATAGGAAAATGACAATAAATAAGCAAAAACGACTTATAACTGGAAAATACATGAAAATATTTATTTTTAGTGCTTTTTCATCAGGCTTTACAAACATAAATATTTGAGCTAGATCATTTCAACCTTGATGAATAATCGGAACAGAAAGACTGCATATTTGTCGTCAAAATTGACTTTCTTGGTATTTATAAAACTTCTAACTGCTGTGTCGGCATGTTCGCAAATAATCTGCAACTTCCCAAGAGTACATGTAATTGTGGTCACACTGAAGCTTAGCACCGTAATAACTTATCGTTTTCATTAATGTTAATCACAATAAAAAAACTAAAAGAAATATTTTACAATCTAAATTGAAGGATTTATAACGCTATTATTTACCTGAATCTGAAATTGCATTAGCTGACCATTCACCTGCAGCTGACATTTGAATCACAGTTGATAAACGCTCCTGATCCGACCAATCTGGGGAGCGGAAAAGTTTTGACCAAAGTTCAAAGAAATTAGGTATTTTAGATTCAAGACAATAACTGGACAAATGAATTTGTCGAGATGCAGACGAAAAGTCAGTTTTCAAACAAGATGGTATTTTAGGTGTAACAAAAGGAGAAGCAACGAAACCACCTGTATGTAGCTCCATTGCTTGGTCCATTTCTGAGTAAGACATTCCATCCGCTCCCAATCTAAAAAGCAGATTATGTACAGAAGGCTATAAAACTTTGATAATACAACAATTTAGAGAAAATCTCAGTTAAATGAAAAGCTTACTTACTTATACCTGTCACCCCCAATAGAGCATAGGCCGCCGACCAGCCTTCTCCAACCCACTCTGTCCTGGACCTTTCGTTCTAGTTCTATCCAGCTGTTGTTCATTCTTCTCATATCTGTATCCATTTCTCGGCGTAATGTGTTCTTTGGTCTTCCTCTCCTTCTTTGGCCTTCAGGATTCCAAGGGAGGGCTTGTCTTGTGACGCAGTTGGGTGCTTTCCTTAATGAGTGTCCTATCCAATTCCAGCGCTTCTTTCTCCGCTGAAACCTGGTCTGTTCTCTCCCACAGTAGGTTGTTGCTGATAGTGCCTGGCCAACGAATTCGAATTATTTTGCGTAGACAACTATTAATAAATACCTGTATTTTCTGAATGATGGCTTTCGTAGTCCTCCAAGTGTCCGCCTCATACAGTAGAACTGTCTTGACATTCGTATCAAAAATTCTCATCTTGATGTTGGTTGAAAGTTGTTTTGGTTTCCAGATTTTCTATAATTGTAGATATGCTGCTCTTGCTTTGCCGATCCGCGCTTTCACATCTGCATCAGAAACACCGTGTTCATCAATGATGCTGCCCAGATATGTAAGGGTTTTTACATATTCCAAAGCATCTCCGTCAAGCTTGATTCGATTGATGCACGTTGCGTTGTATCGGAGAGTCTTGCTTTTCTCTTTGTGTATGTTGAGACTTACTGTTGCTACACTGGTCGCCTTCTCCTGTGTTTGTTGTTGTGTGTGCGACAGAAGAGCCAGATCATCCGCGAAGTCTAGATCGTCCAGCTGCATCTTAGCTGTCCATTGTATCCCGTGCTTCTCTCCTGATTTTGACGCCTTCATGATCCAATCGATCACCAGGAGAAGGAGAGTAAGCAACCTTGCCTGACACCAGTCTTTTCCTTGAACGTGTCTGTCAGTTGTCCTCCATGCACGATTTTGCAGACTAATCCATCATAGGAATTCCGTATGATATTGACTACCTTCTCAGGCACGCCGTAGTGTCGAAGAAGCCTCCATAGTTTTGACCTGTCCACGCTATCAAATGCAGTCAAATGTAGTCAATGAAATTGATGTAGAGTGATGAATTCCAATCAATTGATTGTTCCACATTGGTCCATAGTGTTGCGATTTGGTCGGTACACGATCGATCCTTACGGAATCCAGCCTGTTGGTCACGAAGTTGGGCGTCTGAGTCTTTCATTTTGTGTTAGCAACGCCCTGTTGAAGACTTTTCCTGGTATTGAGAGAAGAGTGATACCTCTGTAATTCTCACACCTGCTGAGATCGCCTTTCTTTGGTATTTCGATCAGAAGTCCCTCTTTCAAGTCTGTTGGTAATTGTTCTTCATCCCAAATCTTGCTGAAGAGAATGTGGAGTATCTTTGCAGTTACTGATACGTCCGCTATCATTGCTTCTGTTGGAATGTTATCTGCTCCCGCTGCTTTACCACTCTTGATTTGTCTGATGGTCATGATAATCTCTTCAATTGTTGGCGGGTCAACATTGATTGGGAGGTCCGTGGGTGCTACTTCGATGTTGGGTGGGTTCAATGGGGCTGATCGATTCAAGAGTTCCCTAAAGTGCTCTACCCACCTGTTTCGCTGTTCTTCAATGTTCGTGATTACTTTGCCTTCCTTGCTTTTCACTGGTCGTTCCAACTTACGATAATTTCCAGCAAGCTTCTATGCTGTATCATACAATTGTCTCACGTTTCCTTCTCTTGCAGCCTTTTCCGCCGTCACTACTAGATCTTTTACATATTTACGTTTGTCGGCTCTGATTCTCCTCTTCACTTGCTTGTTTGCTTCTGCGTATTCAGCTTGTGCCTTGGCTTTCTCTATTCTTGTTCGGCTGATATTGATTGCTGTCTTCTTGTTCCTTCTTTCTTCAATCTTATCCAGTGTACCAACAGTGATCCATTCAGTGTGATGGTGCTTTTTGTGGCCCAGAACCTCATAACATGTTCAAGTGATTGTCTCCTTGATCCTTTTTCAGTTGTTCTCCATGGTAGTTCCCTCTCCATTGAGTAGATGGTGAAAGGTCTGGAACTTACTGCTGAGGGCTATCTTGAATTCGTTGATTCTGTCAGTATCTCAAAGAAAGGCCGCACTAAACTTTTGTGATGTTGTGCTCTCCGTTGTTCAGTGCTTTTTGACTTTCAGTTCCATCTTGGTGACCAGAAAGTGATGATCTGAGGCTATATCAGCTCTTCTCTTTGTTCTCACGTCCCCCATCGTCCTTCTGAACTTTATATTGATGCAGCTATGGTCGATTTGGTTCCGTGTAGTGTGATATGATGAAGTCTATGTGGCTTTGTATATGCGTTTATGTAAGAATGTGGTCCTTTGTTGGGCATTTCTTAACGATAGATTGCAGCCTATCATAGAATTGATTTTTAACGTCTTCATTGTAGTCGTTGTTAGGCGCATAACTAAGTGATCCAAAACAAGTCAGGGTTTCAGTAGAAACTTTAAACTAGTGAGTTTTAGGCTAAACAGATTTTTCAAAGGTTTTACCACAGTGAAGGTTTATACACTGAATTTCAAGCAAAAAAACTTGCATATATTGATATAATACTTAAGGCAACAGAATATACCTGGTAAACAACGAACAAAACAGTGGGACGTAAGATAATAGTTCATAAGGCAAATCCTTTAAATCAGCCAAAGCATGGAAATAAAATAAACCATTAGTTGCTGCTTCGTTCAACTGGACAGGAAAATTAGAAGCTAAACATTACAAAAAGACAGAAAATTTTATGAGGACAGGAAATACATTTTTCATACACAAACATCACATTAAATAACGAAATTTCATGTATTTTATTCGCTAATGAAATAATAGTAGGAGCAGTAAATGTTTTAGTTGAAAAAAAAACTCGTAATTAGTCATAAATTCGGACTACTACAAACTGAAGTAGTGATTATACTGTAAAAAGATTACACATTCATAGTGAAATTTGTTTAAAAATAGTAACTGAAAAGTCTGAAGCAACACGAGTAAAATTTGGATTTATCTTCGAGTGCTACCGGAATATAAGGGCTGATCAACACGTCTTGAATACCTACATCAAAAGACCTGAAAAAGAAACCTAGATTAGGACTGATGGTCTTGTCAAAGTACGCTCTTGAATATAAACCCAAGAGCTAGCTAGATACTTTCCAAATATCATACTCAGAACCCAAAATTCATGAGACAAGGAAATTGAATATTTATAATACTGAGGTTGGTAATAAACATCACTGGAGATTTTATTTACACCTTTAAAGTTATTTAATATCCCAAACATTCCAGTAGACTAGGAAGTATGACTTCATTTTCTGAAGTTAAATGGATGACGAGTAAACTGATTTATTATATTCGGCTGTTTTCCTACCTTTAACATTAGTACTTCTCGCAAAGTTGTTTCACAGTACGCAAGTATTGTTTCGGAAACACCTATGATCAAGAAACTGCAGTCTATTCATGTCTTCTACTTCCGTAGACCAAATTTTACAAAAAGTAATGCAGAGTGAACCCCTGCACAATGTGTGTACTCTCTTGTTGGAAGACGGACATCTCTTCTGCGTCACAAGTGACGTAAGTTGGCAAAAGCTGAAAGAGCCGATCTCGTCAGACACCAAGTAGTCATAGGTAGTGAGACCACCATTATAAGTGAACTGATCGATGCAGTCAACAACTTCGTTCCTTGTAACCGACCCACAGTATGACGCAGATCAGTCTTGAACCAGTATTTTGCACTTAAAGGGGAAGAAACGAGTCCTAAATATGTTTGGATTGTTAGTCAAAGTGACCAGTAGATTGAATTATATCAGCGTTTTCACTACACAGAACTATGTTATCTGCCACAAAATTGCAAAGCAACAATCTTATGTTCAAATTTCCTGGATATTGAATAGAATATAAATTGATTAATCCCTTACTTTGAGTGAGTGTAAACGGTTCTGGTCGGCATTCCAAAGGTACGTCAAAAATGTCGAGGCACGGTAAACATGAAACATCTTCTTCTTGATTTTGTTTTTCAAGGAGTTGATGAGCTATTTTTCAAATAAGAATAATAAGTAGGATCAAAGTGTTGTACAGAAATTGAAGTACTATATTGAGACGAATTGATTGTTTAGTGCTTCCTAGTAATGTTCTAAGGTCGACCTATGGTATAAAACTACAAAATTCTACAATTTTTACAACTTTCTATTACTAAAGGACAATAAGTTGTTAGTTCAAAATTATTGTACACTCTTATTCATGCACTCAACTTAAAGACACATATCCAAGTTAGTAATGTAATTTTTGTTGAATATAGAGCGTAACTTTAGTCTACATTTGTTACTCAGTTATACACAGTGTCGAACCTATGATGAATAAGTTGCATTTGTTTTGAAAAAGTGAAGTAACTATGTTAAAAAGGTATCTATACTGGTAAAAAAAAGGTTTATTTACACGAACTAATAAAAATAAGACTGTATCGCCCAGTAGGTATTAATCAATGAACTGATGGTTAATTTATTATATATATACCACTGAGCACAAATAGTATAGCGGTTTGTTGCCATTTACCTGGTAGGGGAACATTTGGTCATACTACTAGTTAGGGCATAAAAGTTATACAGATAGTACTTGTCAACGGGAAGGATTGGATCACAGGACAACAAATACCTCAATGAAAAGTGTTATATCCCGAGGAGAATTATGAATGGTATCTTATGAGGACTAATTATGGACCCATACCATGTGTATATTTCTATTGAATAGTTGTTAACTAACTAAACTATTCATATTCGTATCCCTCTTATTATAAGCTTTATTTTGACCCATAGACTATTACTATTCGACTTGCCGTTCTTGAGTTATACCCAGTCTATTAATTACTGCCTCCCACATTTGGCTGGATCTTGTACAAATGTTATTTTTTATTTTATGGTACGATGTGGTCTGTCTGTTTGATACATATACTCAGTATGTTTGAAACATGACTCATATTGCAGAGGCTGTTATTGGTGTTCTGGACTTAACTGGTTTGGCTAGGCGGAAAGTAGGACCGATAAGTACTCTAGACTGCTCGCATGGATTTTATGCGACATTAATCCGATCGACAAATCACGGCTCTCTAATAGGTGGGCACAAGTTATAACAAAAAGTAATAAATTTAGATAGATATCGGGATGAATAGATAAAATAACAAGAGAAATCGACAAAAACTGGATTGAAAGGCCTCCATGAAACAACACTTTACCAGAGACTTGAAGAAAGAACTTTCTCATCATTTTAAATGGCCATTTTTAACTGTTATATCACAGTGCCTGAAGCACTGGGGTAACAATAATCAGCAATCTGAAAAACTTATGTCTTACCCTTTAGTGCTAATTTTTCCCTATCCAACGGTGTTATGTCCTTTGTCAAACGATCCAAATTTTCTTCATCCTTCTTGGCTTCTATGGACCTCCAGTTTGGATCAGGACGCATTACAGTTATCAGTTTATGTTTGTTATCCTATATGTGATATTAACACCCGATTACGATACATGCAAAAAGTAATCACTAAAACAATATTGATGAAAATTAAAAAGTCAATAACTTTCTTTAATGAGATCACCGAAAAAATACCGTGTGAAACACTTATGAACCACACGGACGATAGTTATCATATTTTTTTGTTAAACGACCCGTAACATTTCGAAATACAGAGTAATCAAGTCATAGTACAAAATAATTTCACTTTTCGCGCCAGTGTCATGGTTGAAAAGCCATGAGCTCTGAAACTTTTTCATCTTTTAAAGATTGTTTAACCTACAATAAAAATAATAGGTCCGGCTTCACACTACTATTACGTCATTTCATCCACACGTTACTTAAAAGGACAATGGCTGCAAGACATATATCAACAGAAGTATTAGGTTTCCTCATATCGAAATAATATGGCCAATAATAATTCAACATATAATAACGTATGCAGTAAAAAATATTACATAGGACAACATAGAGGGCACCTCCGAGCAAATGACTGTTGGGATTAGGCAAATATCCCTACACTTACAGTTTTCCAGTGCAAACAACATCCAAGAGACCTTAGGTAAGATTTTCGCATGAGATTAAACGAGATGAAAGACGGTATGAATGAATACAGTAAACATATTACACATACTAGAAAGAATTGTTGAACAAAACTTTGAAGTATAGTCGGATCCGTGTTCCATTCCTGCCGAAATCGATCCACATTAGCTCCAATTTTCAGGAACTCGTTTAAATCAACACCATGATTAACAGCATTGGATAGGTTCAGGATTAGATTTAAACCAAAGCGAGCAGACTCATGACGAATTTCTAGTTCGTACTGATGAAGAGTAGCCTCAACAGATTCCACTGGAAAACCATCCCTATATGAGTAAAAAAATAATGTTTAAACATTGGCACTTTGATAGGGTGTGAGAAATAAGAGTTAGTTAAGTGTTTAAAGTAGCCGTGCTAAACATCATGAGCTGATCTTGTCGTAAAATTCAACGACAGCATTGTATAATCTTTCCTGTTAAAGTTTATCAGTCTTCTAGAATGACATCTCCCCAACCTATGGTTAGTCTGTAAGCGTTTTTTGATGGACAACACTTATTTGGGTGTTTGTGAAGACCCTTACAACCTAAACTGAGATTTTATGAAACCGGGAATTGAAATTTAAGAATGTGACCCTACACATCGGTTTCTAGTTTTCGAAGCAATAACAGTCCTTTACACTAAAAATGCCATTAAGAACCGATGGCGAGATTATAGCAACCATCCTACAATCAATTTCGATTATAGCCAATTTTGGTTAAGCCCTTTTTTATAACTTACTTAACAGACATTGTCATTAGGATAGTAACAATTTGCATATTCTTTGCACTGCTATACCACTAGAGCACATGACACTCTAGCCGAAATGTTGACTGCTTAAATATCATTCGATGACTCATACTCCTCCCCATATATGTACGCACACAAATATTATTATCAGCCTTTGTTTTGCTTTGCTGTGCCCTTATTAAATTTGACTATAAATTGCCTATGTAATTGCTTGCTACTCGCTCGCTCGCTCGCTTGCTCCTCGTTCATTTCCTTTGCTTGTTTGCCTGTTCACTCGCTCGTTCATATTCGCTCAGGTGTTGTTAGCTTCCGAACCTGAGTCATTCGACAATAAACTGTAGTTGCTGCTATCCTTTGTCTTCTGATTTTACGCACCGTTAAGTTTAGAATTATAACGGTTATCGAAGTAAACGGTTAACGAATCGCGGCACTACAGAATTGGAGGCCTCGCCGAACAAGCACGACGCAATAGAATTGGATATCTCGCCGAACAAGCACGACGCAATAGAATTGGATATCTCGCCGAACAAGCACGACGCAATAGAATTGGATATCTCGCCGAACGAGCACGACGCAATATATTTGGTTACCTCGCCGTACGAACACGACACTACGGAATTGGATGCCTCAACGAGCGAACGCAAAACAATTTTCGACGAGATAATTTCATTTTGAAAATTCAACGTACTCTGTTTCTATTCGAATTATTATCTGGATTATAATCATAATTGTGGATTTATTATATCACAATTTTAATCGCACGTTCATCATCCCATAAGCATTATTGAACTTAACGATAATATTCATAATAAATAACGATTATTCACGAACAATTGATATATTGGTGCAATTTAGTAAGTCTGTTCCATTTTATATATTGTACCTTTTGTTATTATCATTTTTTTCATCGATTCATTTCTCTTAGTGACAATAACGTTATATTCGCATACTATTTAATTTATTATTATTATTATTATTATTATTATTATTAGTAATGTCTTTAAATAACGAAACAATCGATCTTTCACAGTCACCATCCGTGGGAGTTATTAATGTTACTATTCCCTCTTTTAATGTTACTGATCCTCAACTCTGGTTTATTAGACTTGAAAATTACTTCGTAGCCAATCGTATTCTTTTACAGCGACATAAGTTCGGCTACGCAAGCTCACTACTTCCAGATGAAGTAGCAGACAAGGTACGAGAGGTCCTAACTAAGCCGGATGCGGTAAATCCGTACGATGTATTGAAACAGGCAGTAATAAAAGCTCTCTCGTTAAACGACCGGCAAGCTGTCGAGCAGTTGCTCAGTGAAGTTCAAATCGGAGATAGAACGCCTTCGCAGTTAAAAACGTATATGAGCAACGTAATTGGAGACAGAAATGTGGATAAAAATATATTTTACCACTTATGGTTGCGACGACTCCCACCGAACGTACAGCAGATCCTCGCTGTTGGAGATAGCGATGTAGACATAGACAATATCGCTAAAATAGCCGATAAGATTTACGATAGAATGAGAAATGCGACTTCACAAACGCTCAACTTCACAGTTGACGAAAGAATCGAGGCCTTGCAAAAGGAAATTAATGCGCTATGCCAAAAATTAACGAGTCTAAATCACAACGACAGGAAAAGAAGTTGGTCGCGCAGCAGATCAAGAGATAGAAACCGATCATTTTCTAAGGGACTACCAGATCCTGCTATATGCTGGTACCATCAAACATTTGGGTACAGAGCTCGAAAATGCAGGTCTCCATGCAAATTTAAACGATCCCAACGATTCTCAGTAACGACTACGAAAATCAACGCAGCTCCCACGAGCAATCGTTTATTCTATGTTCAGGACAGAGTAACGGGCGCGCAGTTTTTAGTAGACACGGGAGCAGAGATAAGCGTCGTCCCTCCATTGAGCAACGAAAAACAAAATATCGATACTGCGCTAACTCTTAAAGCAGCGAATAGATCCGATATAAAGACATATGGCAAACGAAAACTAACCTTGAATTTCGGCCGTAATATTTCACTTCGCTGGGAATTTGTAATCGCTGATGTTTCCGTACCCATAATTGGTATCGATTTCTTAAAGAATTTTGACCTATTAGTGGATTCTCGACGAAACCAACTAGTGAATGGAGAACGCTCAGTAGTCATAAGAGGAGTGACCACCGATCATGTATCTATGAATTTAGTAGTGTCGAAAGATAGGAACGAGCAATATAAGTCACTTCTAAATAAGTTCGCCGACTTAACGAGGTCATCATACGACAACAAAGATCTTAAACATACAGTACAGCACCATATCGTCACGAAAGGTCCACCGACTAGAGTAAGAGCGCGAAGGTTGGACCCAAAAAGGTTAAACATTGCAAAACGAGAATTCGAAAAACTAATGAAACTTGGTATCATAAGGCCATCTAATAGTCCCTGGGCATCTCCGTTACATATGGTTCCCAAAAAGAATGGAGAAATTAGACCATGTGGAGATTATAGAGCCCTTAACAAGCAAACGATAGCAGATAGATACCCAGTGCCACATATTCACGACATCACTACCGAAATGGAAGGTGCTACGATTTTTTCGAAAATTGATCTTGTTCGGGCGTACTACCACATTCCAGTGGCCCCAGAAGACATACCGAAAACGGCCGTAATCACTCCATTTGGTTTATTTGAGTTTTTACGAATGCCATTTGGATTAACTAATGCAGCTCAAACCTTTCAGCGATTTATTGATCAGGTTGTTAGAGGTTTGACAGGGGTATACGCATATATCGACGATATATTAGTAGCTAGCGCTACCGTCGAAGAACATCTACAACATCTACGACAGTTATTCACGAGACTTCAAGAACATGGTGTCACTATTAACGTGGAGAAATGTGAATTTGGAAAGAAATCATTGCAATTCCTAGGTCATATGATAAATTCTCGAGGTATTATGCCAGTTCCAGCAGAAGTTGCTGCTATTCGCAATTATCCGTTGCCCGAGTCACAAAAAAAGTTACGACGATTCTTGGGACTAATAAACTACTATAGGCGATTTATTCCAAACTGCGCAGCAATACTACAGCCATTAACGGACGCTTTGCGAGGAAATACCCGAACATTCCATCTATCGACAGAGGCCATACAGGCTTTTGAGAACGCTAAGCGAGCACTTCATGAGAAAATGATATTAGTTCGACGAAAGAGCGAAGCGCCACTAGCCATCATGACGGACGCATCGAACATAGCAGTAGGAGCTGTACTGCAGCAGTTAGTAAACGGTACATGGGAACCGATTTCATTTTTCTCGAGGAGATTAAACCCTACACAAACGAGGTACAGTACGTTCGGAAGAGAACTATTAGCGATTTACTTGGCAATCAAACATTTCCGACACATGATAGAGGGTACCATTTTTACAGTGTATACAGACCATAAACCCCTCACGAAAGCATTAAACGCCAAGCAGGATAACTATTCGCCGAGGGAAATTCGACAATTAGAATTTATTTCCCAATTTACTTCTAGCATACAGTATATTGAAGGTAATAATAACGAAGTGGCAGATGCGTTGTCCAGAACAACGATAAACGCGATTATTACAAATGGAATTGATTATCACGGTCTCGCGAAGTTACAAGAGATAGACATCGAACTAAACAAGCTAAGATTCGATGACACGACGTCATTATCATTCGAAGATATTCAGTTCGGCAACGCGAAAGTAATATGTGACATGTCAACTGGCCGACCTCGCCCATTCATTCCTAAACCATTGCGACGGAAAGTATTCGAAAGTATCCATAACCTATCGCACCCGGGAATAAAAGCCACGATGAAATTAATCAGTGAGCGTTTCGTATGGACGAAAATGAATCGCGATATACGAAATTGGACGCAAGCATGCATGAAATGTCAAAAAGCCAAAGTACATCGTCATACTAGTTCGCCAATGGGTTCATTTTCACAGCCAGACACTCGATTCGAACATATACACATCGATATCGTGGGACCACTGCCAGTTTCGAACGGGTACAACTATATTTTTACATGCATCGATAGATTTACCCGATGGCCTATAGCGGTGCCAATCAAAGACACCTCAGCCGAATCTGTAGCAAAAGCCCTAATCGAGAATTGGATTTCTCACTATGGTATACCGGCAATTATCACGACCGATAGAGGAGCTCAATTCGAAAGTCGACTCTTCCAGCAGCTTACAGAACTCCTCGGAATTAAACGTATACGAACGACATCCTACCATCCAATGGCAAACGGAATGGTTGAACGCCTACATAGGCAGTTGAAAGCATCCCTTACATCTGTCATTGTCAATAACGATTGGGCTAATAAGCTTCCTTTAGTCATGTTAGGTTTAAGAACAATAATTAAACAGGATATGGGATGTTGTCCAGCCGAGTTGGTATATGGAACTACTTTACGTTTACCCGGAGAATTTTTCGCTTCAGGTAAAAGTGTTCCGACTGATGTAGCCAACTACGTCCAACGCCTGAAGAAACACATGAGCGATTTAAAAATAGCACTTCCCAGA